TAATGATCTCCACAGCACAAATTAATCACGAAACTAAATTCTAAGCTTTCTGAATAAATAAATAAATAAATCCCTAGATTGACCTAAACATTGCTCAAGGGAGAAATTTTAATCTTTCATCAGTCGGGAACAGAAAGTATTAATACCAGTAGAGTTGCGTATAATATCCGGAATGTTCTCATCCTCGGCGGGACGGGAGGACAACGGTTCGTAAAGGGACTGCTGATGAGGGTGTCGCCTGTACGCAGACTTCGGTCGTTGATGATCGGCGTGGGTGGGAGTTGCGGCGGAGGAATTCGAAGATGCTGATGAGGAGGAGATTAGAGGAGACATAAACCTCGAACTGACCTCTCTCACCCTCGGCCGTCGGTTCTGAGGAATCGGCGGCGGAGGAGCTGTAGCCGCCGCCAGTGAACACGAATCGCCTGCTTCGCTGACTGCCTCGGCCATTTTCTCCTCCCGCAACACAGAGAGGAAAGTTGTCTAACCGCAAGAACTGAGAATCGGAGTGAAGAAGAGAAGTGAGAAAGTATTGTATTGAGAGAGGTTTTAGAGTTTTGTGCAGAGAATTGAAGAAATGAAATGGGGAAAAAGTAGCCGTTGTATAAAACTAAAGGGAAAACTAGCCGTTATGGGTTTGTAGATCCGACCGGAATCGTAACGGGTAACAACAACGTAGATAGCGCGTGTCGGATTATATCCCCGGATTAATTACGTTACCCTGGAAAAAAACAATCTGCTTTTAGCTTTTTCGCTTGAGTTCTACTCTACGTACTCTCAAATTCTACTTCATTACTTATACTCTGTGAGGTAACAAACAAGGATTGATTATTGTTATCATGTGGGTCCACAGAAAAATATCTACATCAAGAACGCGTAAGAGGGAGTACAATTTGGGAGTATAAAATGAGAGTACACCAAATATTTTTCCTTTTCCTTTTCCTTTTGAGAGATCCCACCAATGATTTTTTGTAGGGTTTTTGAGAAAATAAAGAATGATGTTAAGGAGAGAGTGTGAAGAGAGAAAAAAATAAAAACTCCGAGTTAGTTTTTATCAGAAAAAGTGGATCGCACATGAAAGAGAGAGGGCGTGTCGAAACGCACGTTCAGCGCACATTGCACACCCATCGGGCGCCTACACTATGGGCGAGTAATATCTTCTGTTTTCATTTTTTCTTTTCTTTTTTTCTTCCCTCTCATCTTCTCTTTTATAATCGCAACTGCAAAAACTTATCAAAAACCACAATTGTTAGAGATGCTCTAAGAGCATCCATTAGGAGATTTAGGACCAGTTTTTTTTTTTTTTTTTTTTTTTTTTTTTTTTTTTTTTAATGAGAAATTAGTGAGGTGGAGGAGAGAAGGGGAGGTGAGAGAAAAATTGGGGTTTTTGCAGTAAATGAGACTTTTGGTCGGAAATGTGGGTCCCACTTTGGTTTCTGATCTGCGCGTCGACTGGGCGTGTAAAGCAACATTTTTTTTTATTTCAGCTTTTGTATTTTTTTTTCCCTCCCCTCCCATTTTCTCTTTCCTAATCGCATCTGCAAAAACTCTTCAAAAACCTATCACTATTGAGGATACTCTAAGGTCATCCCCATTAAAACGTTTCTCACGGTTTTTGAGAAAATTTTTGCCAACATGAAAGAGAGAGAAGATGAAATGCCTTCGGCAAATATGAGGTTTTTGTAGAAATGTAGGATCCATTTTGCCAGTAATACCTCCGCCTCTCTCATTCTCTCTCTCGCGTGTTGCAGAAATGCAGAGTTCACTTTGATTTTTTTTTAATCAGCTTTTATTATTTTTCTTTTTCCTTTTTTTCTCTTCACTCTCATCTTCTATTTCTTAATCACACTTACAAAAACTCCTAAAAAATTACAACAAAAATTTCACTATTGAGCATGCTCTTAATTTCATAATAATTGAAGCGACTTTTTTTTTTTTTTATGGTTTCAAAATAAATTTAAAACAATGATGCATTTTTAGCTGATTCTTTTAATTTGATAATTTAATATTATTATCTATTAGCTGATTCTATTATAAAAAAAAAAAAACAAAAAACAAAAGTAAAGAAGAATATAATGAATTAATTTGATCAATAAATAATAAATATGATAAGTAAAATAAGACAAATGGAGTATTAGTAATTGCCAATCTAGTGAATCTACCACCAACAGCAACTAAGTAAATTAGGAATTACAAATGTCTATTTTATACTAATAACATTTCTATACTAAACCACCAAAATTGATATATCAATAGGGTTAAGGATGGATTGAATAGTAAAATTAGCCAAATTATATTAAAATTTTAAGTTTGGTATAAAAGGTATTACCAAAATTTTAAATTAAAGTATAAAATAATCAAAATGTAAAGGTTGTGCCAAAAGGCTCAAAATTGGCAAATTATAGTCCACACAGCTGTGTGAATCATGCCACAAAACGACATCATTTTACCCTTAAAAAAATCGCTACTTTAATTTTTAACGGCGTGATGAAAAATTAAAACTTGAGCTATTTTAATGACTAATGACTTAAATGAAAAGATATTAATCACTTATTAGTTTTAGGTTCTTTAAAAAAATTAAAAGTTGAGCTATTTTAAGGGAGATATAAATACAAAAATTTATGTGAAACAATTTCATGTGGAACACATTATACTTTTAATGAAAATATAATATATATTTTTTATCTAACACAAAACCAACTGTGCTCTTCATTTGAATTAGGTGAGCTATTGAAGGTTTAAAAACATAAAATTAATTATTCAATTATTGATTGGTTTTTAAATAAAACCGATTGATACTTATAATCGCATCTCTGAAATCTTTGCCCAACATTTATTGGTGTCAACCTCCCTTCGCCATCAACATTAGGATTAAGGAGGTTAACGAATCGAACATGAACGAACTAATGTTGTTTGTGTTTGTTAATATTTTTGGAGTGTTCGTGTTCATTTGTTAAAGTTTTTGAAAATCTTAATTGTGTTCGTTTTTTAAGCGTTTATTAATATTTGTTAATGTTCGCGAACATATTTGCTAACGTGTGTACGTAAACACGTTCATAAACGTTAAATAAACAAACACATGTACATATTCATGTATGATCATAATTCGTTCGTGAATAAGGAAATAGTCTTATATATTTTCCTCCATCTTTCGTCCTAATTAGCAAAGCTCCTTCGGTAGGAGCACAAAGCCACAAACAGTGCATATCAAATGGATTTACTCTTATTACTAGAAGTAAATTTTTTTAAAAATATAAGCTTAACGCCTAAACTAAAGTACTAATGTAGTATATTAGTATATTAAAACTAAATAAAATAAATTGTATTTAAATGAGCATGTTCGTGAATTTTATTATACTAACACTACAAAATTTATAAAATTAATTCATGCTTATTATATATATATAAGATGGTAATCCAGTAAAGCAGTTTGAAGTAATCTGTTATTATTCAGGCTTACTTTTTTCAAACTGCTTTACTGGATTACCAATGCCATCTTATTTTATATATAAAATAAGTCTGAATTAATTTTATAAATTTGCATATTAAATTTGCAGGAAAATGGCGTCAAGATACAATATCTGCTTAACCTTCTCTGGAGATTCACACTACTATTTATAATTGTAGTATAACTCTAAAACACACCACTATTTATAATTACAGTATAACTCTGCAAATTTCATCGTAAATATTTTGTTGCTGTTTGCATCATGAATTTTTTTTTTTTTTTTTTAAGTGACTGGCTCTATTACATTGTAGTATATCCGTTTGTATTGTAGTATGTTCATATACTTTCTCAACCTACTGAAACACAAAGAACCAATAACGCCTCTACTGAGGCTTGAACTCATAATCTTCCAAATGAAAGTCCAACCTGGGTACCATTAGACCACATAGTCCTGGCTGTAGTGGTGTAATCTTATTTCAAACTAATTAATAAATCTAATACCATTAGTAAACAATAATTAAATAAAACCCAATAGAGAAGAAAAATATAATTCTAAAAGAAAATCAAACTAAATAATAATATTCTTTGAAAAAAAAAAAAAGTTAGTTGCAAATGGGAGAATTTCCACCTCCGGGAAGCTTCTGCGTCAGCTAGGCTCATTTTATTACACCCATCTGGCCATCTCACCGAATATTCAATTTAGAGTAAGGATAAACATTTAATAAATATTTAATTCAAATTCAATAATTAACATTTATTTTTGAAAAAAAAATCATTTTTGGTCATTTGTTTATACAAAATAGCAATTTTAATCACTTAATTATTGACATAAAAAGCACTATTAATCATACTATTTGTAATAAGGTAGCGATTTTATTATTTTATAATTTTAATATATGAATAAAACTGTAATTTATAATTTTTGTTTTGTTTTGTTTGAGAAGTGTAATTTATAATTTTGAACTATTAAAGTTTCCATTAACAAATCAAGGAATCAAAATTTATCTCATAAAAATTTAGAGGGTGACCTCAAGAATTAAAAGGTTGAAATCGCTATTTGATATAAATAGGGAAAATTGTAATTTATACTCATCACAAATATGTCAATTATCAATATCACTCATTAATTATTAGTGATGTAAATATTATCCTTCAATTTTTAAAACGTGACATATATTACCCTTCCCTTGAATATTAGTAGTGTAAATGTGGTTACCTGCCGTTTTCCCTGTTCGAATACCATGTTTTTTTCCTTTCATTTCTACAACAATGTTTCTCATTCTTCCTATTAGGAAAGGGACAATATATATCACATTTGAAAAATTGATAGGCAACATTTACACCACTAATAATTCAGAGGTAACATTGATAATTGGCATATTTGTGAAGGACATAAATTACAATTTTCCCGTATTAATACAAGTTCATTACACTTTTATTTTTTATTTTAGTGTGATAAGCCTTTAGCTTAATTGTGATGAATTTGTGGGGTTAAGGTACTAACAACACATCACCACCTACTAAAGAACATCATTTCCAACCCAAATATTATAGTAATGAGCAAGAAAATCACTAGTTAATTAATGCCTTAAATGACAAATTAAAACTAAGAAGGATTGAGTTAAACAAAGAATTTCACACAAATGGAAAATGACTCTTCCCTAAACTGCCAATTCAACAACCAATGCGTATAATATTAGGCAGAGATACAGTCATTTTCCTGTCAGAAATTCAGTTGTGTCAAAATACACCCAAACCTTCCTATTCATAAGGTGGAGGCAAAGTGAAGCAAACACCAAACCAAAACCAAAACTAAACTAAATTAATCTCTCTTTGCCCTTTCCCCTTTCTCTCCAACTTCTCTTCTTCAACATCAAGCCAAGAAAAACCGGCCATTCCACAGCCTCTGTAAGTCCCATGTCTCTATCTCTCAAACAAACTAAGTCACCATTACAATATTCCTTTGTCAAAGTAATGATATGATAGATGGTGGTAAAACCTGGAAGACTGCATACATGGCTGATATGTTAAGCAAGTTTAGGTGATAGATAGCGACCGCGAGGAGGGCACCGTTATCACCCCTCAAAAAGCCTCTTTCTTCTGCACCAGCAACTCACTCATTGGATGCCCGCCCTTTTTTCCTTTTTCCGGTGATCCAACTGCTGGAGACAAGACTAGCAAAGGAAGAAATCCCGGGGAGCGGGGTGGTTTCGTTTCGTTTCTCGAGTATCGGAAATGCAGCTTCACATATCCCCGAGCCTGAGGCACGTGACGGTGCTTCCCACCAAAGGCGTGAAGGAGTTCATCAAGTTCAGAATTGTGTCGAGACGGGTGTCCTTTCGCGTCGTCTTCTACTCCCTCCTGCTCTTCACGTTTCTTCTCCGGTTCGTGTTCTTGTTCACGGCTGTGGACACCATTGACGGAGAAAGCAAGTGTTCGGGCATAGGTAACGCCCTCCTACTTCCCATATACACAAATGGGAAACAAATATATCTTTAGCATAAAAAGCTTAAACGACTAAAATGGAATGAATCAAGAAAGCAAATGCCTTTTTTCAGTTACACATATGATTTTACAGTAATTTTCTGATTAGAAATGAAACTTCAACATAATGCAGGTTGCTTTGGAAGAAAAATACGACCGAGTATTTTAGGAAGGCAGCTTGAATCAACAGTAAGTTCATAACTAGACTTTGTCTTAAACGGCTTTCATTTTCGTTAGAAGAATATAAATTAGAACGAAGATTTCTATTTTCTGTTAGCTCCCAGAAGTGATATACAGTGTATTGGAGGAACCAGCAAACGAAACCGAGATACAAGTGGGACCCGAAACTCCTCAGACCCTCGAAGACTTAATTGCAGAATTCAAAGGCGATAGACCAGATGCAAAGACCTTTGCAGTCAAGCTAAAAGCTATGGTATGATCAGATAGATAAGTATATAAAATTCTAAAGATGAAATGCTTCTTTCGATGCGAATTATCTAAAATCGATAGGCTTACTTGTGTTTATTTTCCTAACAGATAAATTTCCTCGAGCAAACAACTAGAACTGCGAAAATCCAAGAGTACCTGTATCGCCACGTGGCATCGAATAGCATCCCTAAACAGCTGCACTGCCTTTCGCTAATGTTAGCAAACGAGCACTCGAGCAATGCTAATGCTCGTCTCCAGTTACCATCACCAGAGCTTGTCCCTTCCCTCGTTGATAACTCGTTCTTCCATTTCGTTCTGGCCTCTGACAATGTTCTTGCTGCCTCTGTTGTTGCTGCATCCCTTGTCCAAAACTCATTGCACCGAGAAAGGTTTGTGCTTCACATAATCACAGACAAAAAAACTTACTCCCAAATGCAGGCGTGGTTTTCCTTGCATCCTTTGACACCTGCAATTGTTGAGGTTAAAGGGTTGCACCATTTCGATTGGTTCACGAAAGGGAAAGTTCCGGTTTTGGAAGCAATGGAAAAAGACCAAAAAGCACGGTCCCAGTTCAGGGGAGGTTCTTCTGCCATTGTGGCAAATCAAACCGAAAAGCCTCGTATTATTGCTGCAAAGTTGCAAGCGCTCAGTCCTAAGTACAACTCACTGATGAATCACATTCGGATTCATTTGCCAGAGGTTAGTCTCGAAATTCATCTGTTCTAAAAATGTTTGCAATCTTCTTTTTCTTTTCTTTTTTCCTGAAATGTAAATTGGGCTTGCAGTTGTTTCCTAGTCTGAACAAAGTGGTCTTCCTTGATGATGACATAGTGGTTCAAACTGATCTTTCGCCTCTATGGGACATTGACATGAATGGAAAGGTGAATGGAGCAGTGCAAACCTGCAGAGGGGAGGATAAGTACGTGATGTTTAAGCACTTCAAAAGTTATCTGAACTTTTCTCACCCTCTAATAGCAAAAAGTTTCGATCCTAATGAGTGTGCATGGGCATACGGCATGAACATCTTTGATCTTGAGGCATGGAGAAGAACAAATATAAGCCGGACATACCACCACTGGCTTGAACAGGTAAAATACAAACTTAATTTAAAGGTAGCCCAATTGTTCAAGAAGTGATTTTCTTGGCTACAATATCACTTGTTAGGATCAAACGCTTACCACTACGCCAGAAGTTATAGCTAGTAGCGAAGGCGCAACTTTATTTTCTTATACCGCCACATTTTTGTTCCCAAAAGGTTGAATCCCCAACCCCAAAGACCTCCCACGCCCCGGCCCGGCAGAGCATCTGGGAGGATGTAAATCATGGTAACTCATCTGAACACAGAGGCTAGACCTTTGCTTACTGCGCACAAGGAGCCCCCCTCAGTTTGAGAGGTTGCTCCCACACTGCTGCTGATGAGACTCGATCCCGGGTCATTGTTCCCAAACTTCACCCTGTGACCAACTGAGCTGCCCATGCGGGCAATACGCTACATTTTTGAGAGGCAGGTTGTTGGACTTGGCCCTTCAGCCTCCGCCCAACAATCCCTCTAGTCACTTGGTGCTGGACTTGGCCCTTCACTGGCCTCAGCCCAACATAAACCATATCAGGAAATTCAGAGCTGAGGTTCTGATTAAGAACCTAAGTTCCAAATACTAATCTTTCTGCGATACAGTGACATTTTTTTAAATCTCCATTGCAGAACTTAAAATCAGACCTGAGTTTGTGGCAACTAGGGACATTACCTCCAGGCCTAATTGCATTCCACGGCCATGTACATGTCATCGATTCCTTCTGGCACATGTTAGGACTCGGGTACCAGGATAATACAAGCATTGCAGATGCTAAAAGTGCGGGAGTTGTCCACTTCAATGGCAGAGCAAAACCCTGGCTAGACATAGCATTCCCACAACTCCGATCATTATGGACCAAGTATGTCAATTTCTCGGATACATTCATTAAAAGCTGTCATATTACGGCATCATGAGTTTGGTTCAGGAAGGACTATCTCGACCTTCAGCTTTCATAGAGGAGAAGAATCCAGGGAAACATTTTTGAAAGCAGGAGCAACAGCTCCTGATATGAGTATATGAGAAGAAAGCTGCCCTGGACTTACGTTTTGTCAACTGGTCTTCCTTCACTCAAGCACCCAAAGTTGTCTTCTTTATTGGTATAAATGCATGGTTGGTTTTAAGATTATCTTAGGATGTCTGAATTTTTTCTCTATATGTATCTTCGTCAAAGAAATCCCAATGCAAATATATTAAGAAAATGCAAATATATTAAGAAAAAACTGTATTCAATAGATACCTTGTGTATTTTAGTCCAAAGGGCTCTCACAGTTATCAATATACAATCATAACACACAAAAAAACTAGGTGGGGGAGCAAAATGTGAGGAAAATATTAGAAAATGTTGAGATATGCATTTAAGTTTTACCAGTTACATTTGACATCAAGCCCTTCAAGAACTTTGCAGACTTTGTGAGTGGAGAATTCATGGCCATCAAGTTGTACAGAACATTCTCAACTTCAGTGATGGATGGCCTTGATTTGAATGTGGAGACTAGCTTCAACTCTCCTCCCTCTTCTTCAACCAACACGTTCCATTTCTCACCGCTCAAAACCCCATCTCTCACACACTTAAAAACCACACCTTTTCTTCTGTTCAGAACCCCTCTAACCTCCAATCCCATGAATGAGTACACTACTTCAAATGAACCCACAAATCCACTCAGCTCTCCAAAGCTGCCCTCTTCTTCGAACCCCCATTTGGGGTTGAAAATCACCACGGGCTTTGGGTACAAACTGTCAGTGATATTCTTCATAGCTTCAAGCTGTGAAACCTCCGGCCCCAAAAACACAACCACATCGGAAGAATTCAAAACCCTGCTATTGTCGTCCCCGTTAGTTACCGACAAAACGTCTAGGTTTTCAACTATGGTGCTCGAAGAACGAGTTTCGAAGGCTTTAGTCTTATCCGGCCACAGAATCAGAATCTTGATTTTAGACCCTTTCCTTTTGATGGGCATGTCTGCAAAGACATCAACCGCGAGCTGAGAGAGTGAAGAGGGCGAGTCATCGATCACCGGAATCTCGACCCGGAATCTGGGTTGCTTTAGCTTCTTGAGCCGGCCGGCGAGTTTGGCATTGTTGAGGGGCTTCTCTAAACTGGTGGAAAGAGAGGTCTTTGCCTGGGAAATAGCTTCTTCCTTGGTGGTAGGTGGGGTGGGGGAGGAGAGAGCACACTGGGGGAATCTTGATTTGGTTAAGGAAATAGAAAGGTGATCACAGTGAAGAAGATGATGATGATGGCGTGGAGGGGAGAAGAAAGATGGATACTGAATTTGTGTCAGCTTGAAATGGAAATTGGGGTTTGAAGTTCTGATGAATTGAGAGTGGAATTTTACAAGATTGGAAGCCATTTTAGTATGCAGAGTTTCTGCAAATCAAGAACGTTTAGTGCCCAAGACACAACTTTCAGGAATCAAAGTGGGTTGATAACTTGATATGGATAAAGTGAAAGATGACAGCCTCACAAATTGGATCCCCTCCCATTCTTGCCATCAGTCAAAGCTCGACTCGAGCTGGGTCAACTTCAAGCTCAAGTCAAACTCGAGTTGGCTCGTTTCGTAATCAAGCTGAATTCGAGCTCAAATGTTTTAAGCTCATAGCTCATGAGCGAATATATATATATATATATATATATATATATATATATATATATATGCTTGCGCTCAGTCAACTTCGAACTCGAGCCGACTCATTTTATAATTGAGCCAAGCTCGAGCCAATCCAAGCTCAAACTTGACTCAACTCGTTTACACCCCTACGATAGATAGACGTTCTGGTGGCAAATTTTCCTCAATACCCAAAAAAATAAGAAGTTGGATCCCTCAATGCCAATTTTGATATGCATATCACTAAATTAAAAGAAAGTAAATCAAAATCAATGAGCATGTAAATGCAGGTTAGGTTGTTGACATTTACAAATAAAACCAGCATAACTCCTTAGTTTGAAGATCAAACAGAGTCTTGAGTTTTTTTTTTTTTTTTCCTTTTTTTTTTGGATAAGTAAGATTGTAGAATCTTACACCATCCATGGAATCAAGTTTAAAGTATTAAACCTAAAAGTTACATAGAAAATGGGCAATAACAAAATCAATGGACAACTAAAGCACAAAGTAAACCCAACTGTTACAGGCTTAGCTGCCAAGTTTAAGCCACTGGAGGTCGGAGTACATGGTCCTGTGAGGTGTCAACAGCAGCAGGAGGCAAGAACTGCCACATGGCTACTCCGGGGTAGCTAATCACCGGCACCACCTTAGTTCCCGGGGTGTGGCCTTGAGCAGCAAATGCAGCTGCCGGTATGGCAGGAGACAGGAGAGCAGGTTGCGTGTTCATGGTCTTCAGTTGTTGCTCTAGCTTATCTTTCTCAGCCTTGAGCCTCTGCTTTTCATCTCGAAGTTCATTTTTCTCGGTCTATGCAATTTGAAAAATAAAAAGATTAACTAAAGAGTAGCTTTGGTTTTCAACTTTTCATCATACTTGATGTAATTGCATATCAAAGTACAGGGTTATAAACTTAGGTTAACTGCATGCTAGATCCGAGACTAAAGCAAATAAGAGAGAAATTCTCACCTTCAACTCTTTTATTTTCTCCTGCAGGTTCGAATTTGAGTCTTTCAGCTTCTGAGCTTCATCACGCAGCTGTGTTACCACACGTACAGCATCAATTAGGATAGCAGATTTGTCTGTTTTAGGGGGCCTGCCTGGCTCAAGGAGTGCACCCAATTCCATGAACCTACATCAAGTCCAATTGTTTATATCAGAGAAAGAAAACGGTAAAGATGATAATAAGAGAATGAATAATGAGCAGACTTGTCATTTAGCCTATCCCTTCGTAGCTTCTCCCTGCATGCTTTGGAACTTGTTGAGGTGCATGATTCAGCTCTTGGTCTGTAAAAGAATATAAATTGGTGAGAGAAAAATGCATCAAGTAAGGCTGTCTTGACCAGTAACTAAAGTTCCCTACAAAATCACAATTAGGTCTTTTATTAACAATTTATGTCAGTGTTACAATTAACTGTAGTGAAGTAAGCTAGTATATCAATATGGCTTGGTGCATAATCTTAAACAATAATTATGGAACATTGGAACCTAAAATATAAAACTTGTGTAAAGTGTCTTCAAAAAAAAAAAAAAAGAAACTTGTGTAAAGTAGGGGCAAGGTGACATTTTTCCTTGTAAGAACTCTAACTTCAATAGACCTGTTCTGATAGGCTCTATCACGGTTTCACCTAAAGTAGAACAGCATTTTGTTATTAATTAAGATTGCATATAGAACAAGGCCTGAATTAAAGAATCCTATAGTCTTGGGAAGAGTTATGAAACTGCAATACATCAAGCAAACTAACAGCATAATGCAGTAAGAATGGTGACAGGAGAGTGGAAGTACTTCAAAAATGAAAACTATATGGCCCAACAGAAATTATTTTAGGTCAACAACTTCAGAGAAATTGAAAGGAAAAAGTGTGGAATCATGTCCACCTATAAAACTAGGTCATGAGAGTGGAGACACAAAAACATGCAAATAGAAGAAATAAAAGTTTTACCGTTTTTTGGAGCCAGTATCCTTTGCGCCATCAGAATCCCCAAATGATCCATCAAGTTCAGGACTAACAAGTTAGATATCCAAGAGTAAAAAAGAAAGGAAGAGAAAAAAAAAAAAAAAAAAAAAAAAAAAAAAAGAGGATTAGAATATAAGCAAGGACATAAAACAATGAAATAATGCTTATGGAAAAATTTTAGAAATGACTACTGACTAAAGAAGAATGCACTTCTTTATATAAATTATGAGGATGAATGATTGAGAAACAATGTGCAAGGTCATCATTGTAGTACCAGGCAAAAGGCCTTCAAATTTAAGAAGGCTTTATTAGAAGCTATAAAAGCTTACTGTCATTTCTTGATAAGAAAAGGTATGTATAGATTGTAGAACTTAGGTAGCAAAACAGATTCAGTTTCCCCAGCTTACATCTTCAAGGTATAGGCACTTAATTAGGCTGTATATTTACCCCAGAATTTATTGACTTCATGTTGACAGAATTTTGAATAAGATGAAATATAAATGTAAACTAGATATGGTTTAGCCCAGTTTTCTGATGAACGATAATGACCTAGTCACCTAGAGCAAGAATATAGCCTCACTTCACTGCCTCCATAGCCATTACTCATAAGCAGATCAGGAATAAATTTCTCGACAACCCATGCTCTCTGTTAGGTCTGTAAGAAATATTTTAATCTCTCAGCTGCAATCTATCATCCAGTTTAAGAAAATCATTCTTTTTCCCTCTTTGCTTTTATTTTTTTATTTTTTAAATAAATCAAACAAACAAACAAATCTCTTTGCTGCTTATGAGTTCTCCCATCACCCAATTGCTGAACAGGATTTTTCCCAAGTTGTCAAACTAGATGTCATGAACTTTCATTAAGAAAGCTACATGCTCTATATGCAACATTTCTTTAGTTCCCTGTCTTCAACCGCACCCATCCTTTATTCTTTTTTCACTTTCAATTTCTATGTGTTTTTATCTCCCTACAGGTAAATTTAAAACCAAACACACCAGATCGATACACCTGGTGGCTTACACTTGATCTATTCATGCTAAATTCTGCATTCAAAAACAAGTGTATCTATTTCGGACATAAATTAATTCCACCTTTTCCACACAGCAATAAACAGGAAACCTATCACATATTTGTACAAAAGCTCAGCAAATGACTAAATTAAACACCATATCAATTATCTTGTAAGCAGTCTATGTCTTTTCCATTCTGAAGAAAAGACAAGCTAAAGATTTTCATATTCCCCTAATCACTAATCAGAACCACAGAAGTCACAGTACCAAGCAAGTTTCAGAGAGCAGACACTACTAGAAACTTAAAAGTTCAAATAAAGCTTTAAAAAATTCTAAAATAACAGATTCTGCAGCAATGAGGCGGCGAATCACAAAATTGTCAGAAGTGTAGCCAAAAAAACCCCTAATTACACTCAAAGATCCGAACTTCACCCATAACTATACAAAATTACAGTAAAATAAATGAAGTCGAGACCAAGTAATTATCCTTTAGGGCTAAAGTTAAGCTACCTGACAGTAGATGAACCATTCAAGGGCTGCACAGGCCAGCTGAACCCGGTACCCAAACCCGAGAAATTTGCATCAGGAGCAGTGATATCTTCAACCCCGTAATCGTAGAGCCAATTGGTATTCTCCGGCGACACCATTTCCGAATCAGTTGACGGAGAGAAAGGTAATTGGGAGGAGAGAGAGAGGATAGTTTCTGATTACAATAGACGAAAATGGAATATTGGGAATTTAATTTGATTTGATTATCATGGAAAATGAAGGAACTATTTTCTATATTTTTTTTCCTTTTTAATTTACTCTGCAAATTGGCTTTTTTTTTAGTATTTAATTAATGGATTTGATTAATTAATTAAAGATTCCCCTGCGCATTTGCACTAATTCCATACTTCGCCCGTTAATTTTCTTCAATTATTTTTTCTCTTTTTTAGTTTACTCTGCAAATTGGCCTTTTTTAGTAGTTAATTAATGGAATTAATTATTTAATTATTTTCCTTAAAAGAATTTGTTTCCTCATTAGCTAGTATGGGAATTGGTGGAGCCTTTAGGACTTAGAGAGTGTGACTCGTTTGAGGCAGATTCTTTATTCAGTTTAGTTTAAGTTTTTTTTTTCTTTTTTTTTTTTTAAATCTTGCCTTCTTTTTTATTAAAAAAATATTTTATATGAGTCAATAATTTGGTGTACTTAACATAGTATTATTAGGATATGTTATGATTTTATTAGAGGAAAAAAAAATTATTTGCACCAACAAGTTTTTAACTTTTTCTTTAAATTTTAAAGTTATCTACAACATCATATATTAGCGATATATATTATATATTTAGTAGAGTTTTACTTCTTACTTTATTAAAAATATCAAGTAAAGAAATATGGTGTGCAATGAATTTTAAAATAAAGTATTATCATCATGTAATAATATCATAGATATAGTAGAAGCTGTAGAATTCTTATAGTAATTAGTATTTAGAACTTAATTAGTATGGTGAGATATACAATGATTGTCAAATTAAAGGAGAATAAGTGAGATCACCTTATCTAAGCAGACTATAATTTATGCATAATTAATTATTATTCTTTTTAGTGGGCATATGTATATTATTTATATTTTTTTAAAAAAAAATACTTTTTGTTCTTTTGGAATCTAAGTTATGACTAGTGAGCATGAATTCCAATTAATGATAACCACTCATGTAATAATGCTTAAGAAATTCGTAATTCAGTGAGTTAGTTGCACAATTAACTTAATAACCACAAGGTTCATTCGAAAAAACAGATAGTTGAGTGAATTTGATTATCAACACTTTGTCACTCTTTTATGTGGTTTGCAAATTATTACACAATACCATATGAGTAAAATTTATTTAGTACACCCCATTAAATAAGGAATGCGAGTTTCTTT